CGAAACTTCTTTCGTATTGAGAATGTAGTTTTAGTCGGGTTAGCTAAAAGTATTCACAAGTTGACTCCGGTTACTTATGCCGACAGATGCACACTGGTCCACTACGACAACGACGTGAATCCACAATTCCATTGTTATGAAGCAGAAGGTGTTGCTCTGAATATACACGATATAACCGGATCAGCACATTCGAGAATTATTCAATGCCTGAAGTCCCTTGAACCTCAAGCAGGTTTTGATCAGGACATGTCAAGATTTGAGGAATTGGCAGATATACCGACACCGGAGGGAACCACAAGAGAAGCCTCATAAGCCGAACCACCACATGATGATGGGCGGCTTTCTACGTTTCACGAAGAATCAGAGGCTGATATAGACTCGCATGTCATGGAAGTGTGGCATGCAGAACTACAAGAGGAAAGGGAGCTGTTGGAGGCAACTCCACCAGAGGACTCTTTCGCCATACCAACACAGATGGTTCCAGATCAAAATATGCTGATCACTGTAGCTGATGAACAGCGGGGGCACCTGCCGAAGTGGGGGCGCACTCATGACTCCGATACCGAGAAGACGTGCTAGGTCCCGATGTGCACCATGGTCGAAGTCAATTTCTACGGACTGGGCTCAGATGAAAATGGTCGATATGTCGAACTTTGCTTTGCGACAGAAATGTCAAAGGTAGTCCTGTCCGAACAACAACATATGATACTAGATGCCGACCGGGTGACTACTATGCGAGTATGCGTAGCCGCCGCTGCAAAGCGAGCTGCGGTCGTCAAGGAAGACGACCTTCGCCAAAGCTGACGTCCAGGCAAATCCCGATTAAGTGTCGAAGGCCCTCTACACTGAACTCAAGACACGGTTCGATAACAAGGTCTTTAAGATGCAAGATATAGCTAAAGCGTCGAACATCATGACTTCGAGACACGTGTACAAGTTTCAGTTTGTGAAGAACGAGAAAGGCGAGATGGAACGTAGCATCAGACTACGCTTGGTTCTCCGAGGTTTTATTGATCTTGAAACCTTCGCCGTAGAAGCATTTTCGGGAACAGCGCGACGGTCAAGCCAGAGGTTACTCGCTAGCACGGCAGCGTGCAAGAAGCAATGGATCTTTGCTTCCCTCGACATCAACATGGCCTTCCTGAAGGGACTGACCTATCAGGAACTTGCTGAGGCTACTGGTGAAAAGGAACGTGTGGTGTGTTTTACTTTGCCGCCTGAATCGGCCACGGTGCTCCGAACTCTCCCAGGATTCGAGCACTATGACGAGTCAAAGCGCTGCCTGTAGCGCTTGAAATCAGCCACAGGCACCAAAGATGCACCGCGGGCTTTCTCACATAAGCTCAGGAGGACCACCGGAGGTTTCGGTCTCCGACCCACGTCCGACGACGGGGAGTTCGCGACGAGCAACACTTTGCTCGCGGCCAAGCATGTTCATGACATTAGTATGGCCGGTACTGAGGACACTATTTATTGGCAAGTATGTCAAATGCGTTGGAGATACCTTTGGTAAGTGTAAACTCAACAAGCACACATGCACCAACTGTGCTGTGAGATACACCAAGGATGAGGACGGCGATGTCACTTTGGACCAAGATGAATATTTCAAACAGCTCCGTCCTGTACAACATCCCGAATTGACCGTCGCCGACGCTGACGTTCGGGCAACCAAGATGGTTGCAGACATGTTCGTCAGCCTCAGGTGTGCGCTGATGCATGCATTAATCACCCAGGTGTGGTTGATGGTGCACGTTGTTTCTCTTCAGCGTGTCCAAGAAACGACCGACGTCCAAGTGCGACGACTGAACGCGACCGCCAGGAAGTTACAGGCCTGCCCAAAGAAGATCGTCTACCAGGCGATGAATCCTACGGGCGAGGTCGATCTGCAAAGCGACTCAGGATATCGACGCCAGAGTGGAGACGCCGATGGCGACGTCAAAGGCTATGGTATTCGCGGGGCAAACCTGCTACAACGTGGAAACACGTCATCCGGTAAGCCTGTCGTTCACTTGATCGATGCGCGCTGCAAGTCTCACCGCTTGCAGGTCCGCTCGAGCTGTTCAGCAGAGACACTAGCAGCAGCCCATACTTTGGAGGGCTGTTATCCCACGATTGTGGCTCTGCACGAGCTTCACGCAGGGCCGCTCACGCCCACTTAGTTGAAATATGTATTTGAGTCGGGTGGCCTGAGCATCGAGGTCACCTTGACCATAGATGCTGAGTCTTTTTTCAAGTCCTTGTCAAGCAAAGACTTGAAGAAGCCGACTGAGTGTACCCTTTTAGGACACATCAGTTGGATACGACAGATGATGGAGCGTGGAATCGTGCACGGCATCCAGTGGTGCGACACCCGCGATATGACTGTGGATGGTCACACCAAGGGGGGCATCGACAGAGACATGCTCTTACAAGTCATGGGAGGTATACAGGCCTTCAAACATGACCTGAAGAGACATACTCCACATCGGGCCGGCCATACATCAAGTTCTGACGCCGCCTGATGAGTACTTCACGTACAGAGCTGTACAAGCGAGGCAACTTGCGAGCGGGTCCACCTTCCTTTTGGCCCGTTTCCTCTTTTGTCCTTGTGTATATGAGCTGCTGTGCCTACTGCATTGGGCTGACGGGCTCACGCTTCGTCTCCCTCCCCCCCCGATTCTAAAGCGAACTGAGGGGCGTAAGGAGTGGAAGCGAGCGTGCGCCCGCGGCCGCGTCGGCTCAAGGGACTGGCCGCCCAAATCTGATTGTGCTTCGCTGCGAGGCACACAATCGCTATCGAGACCAAAAGGATCTTCCTACTGCTTGAGATGGCACATCCTCTCCTACTGGGACTATCGTTACTACGCTACAACAGAGCGGGGGCTTGGCTTCGCCTAAGGCAAAGCTGCTGGCTGGCCAGCCCCCTTCAAACTTTGTCTCCGTCGCCTCCTGGCGTGAATTCTTTGTCCGCGTCGCAACGTCAGTGGCTTGTTTCGGGGCAGGCGTCCGGGGGCTGCGCGGCAATTCGCAGCGCAGGGTAGATGTTGAGTTCCGGCGGCTGTCGCGGCAGGTCCTGGCCGGCGCGGACCGGTCGCGGGCGGGGCGCAGCACCTTGCAGTGGCACGACCCACGGTGGACCGCGGCAGCAGGCCGCGCGAAATTGTGTAGCGTGGGCAAGTTTGGCTGATGATTTCCTGGAGCTCTGCGCCTGAAGGGGCATTGTGTAGCATGAGCAAGTCTGGCTGATGATTTCTTGGAGCTCTGCGCTTGAAGGGGCATTGTGTAGCATGGGCAAGTCTGGCTGATGATTTCTTGGAGCTCTGCACCTGAAGGGGCAGACGCGTTGACCGTCTGTTTCCCCCTCGCGCCTTCTGTGGGCCCGCCTCCGTGCGCGCGGGGCGACTCGGCTTTGCTTCGCTTCTCCGGTCTTCCCAGCGTCCAAAATGGCCCAGGGAGGCCCCCCAAACGGCTCCAAGGCACCCTAGTGGCCCCACGACGGTCCAAGTGGGCGTCAAAACGGCCCAAGAGAGCCCGAAAACGGCCCAAAAGAGGCCCCTGACGGCCCCAGAAGGTTCCCGAGAGAGCCCCATGACGGCCGCAGGAGGTCCCCAATGGGACCCAAGAGGGCCCCCCAGAGGGCTCCACGACGGCCCAGGCCCGACAAAACGGCCCAAGAGGGTCCTGGGGCGGCCCAGACGGACCGCAAGACGGCCCAAAAGAGCTTCAGAAAGACCCCCCCAAAGGCCCAGAAATGTAAGATGGATTGGTTCTCGCGGGGTTGGTTGCTAGATTTCTGTATGTCGCGCCAGCGCCTTGGCTCCAACAGGGCCCCAATGCACTAAGCGAGACGGCCCAAAAGAGCCCCAGAAGGACATCCAGGAAGGCCCGGAAATACAATCTGCATTGATTGTTGCGAGGTTGGTTGCTAGATTTTCGCATGTCGTGCCGAGGCCTTAACGCCAACAGGGCCCCAAGACACTAAGCCAGCGACCTCGCGCCCTCGCAAAATAAACGCGCTTTTCGCCCCCATTCCAAGCAGGTAACGGAAAAGGGCGAGGTACGAGTGACGACGTTCCTGTGTGGGCCAAGCCCTTTTGGGAGGGGCCCAGGGGAGGGGCCAGGACTTGGGTGATGGTTGTAATGGCCGCCCGGGGGCCGCTTCCCTCGAGCGCAGCGGCTCCCGAGGTGCTCCCATGGCCTGTTTCTTCGTGGGGCGGCAAGAGGGCCCCAGGAGGGCCCCAAAACAGCCCAAAGACGGCCCCAAGAAAGCTTCACTGTCCAAAAGAGCCTCGAGAGGGCGTCAGGATGCCAAAAGCATTGATTTCCCAGAGGGGTTCTGACAGTTTTTCGGCTTCTCGCCTTTTCGGGCCCAGAAGGGCCCAACGCGGCCCACGAGGCCCAAAGCTCGTCCCAAGACGGCCCCAGAGGCCCCCCAAAGGAGGGGCCGACAACGGTCCAAGAGAGCCCCCCAGACGGCCCAAGAGGGCCCCCAACCAGCCCAAGAGGGCCCCAAAGCGGCCCCAGGAGGGCCCCAAAGCGGCCCCAAGAGAGCCCAATGAGGGCCCCCAGAGGCTCCCAAGAGATTCCCAAGGGGTCCCGAAGAGGCAAAGTGGGGATTGGGCTGCTTGGGTGTGGGGACTGGGCTGGCCCCAGGTGGGCCCAAGTTCCAAAAACGCCTTCAAGAGGGCCCCCGAAAGGGATCCAGGATGCCAAAAAGATGGTTGTGTTTTTTCTTTGTTTTTCGCCAGTGGAAAACGGATCTAGGCAACTTGGGCCAGGCCAGGCGCAGGGGGGGGCCCAAGGGCGCCAGCACGATTGGAACTGCATCTCAGAACGCTGCCCCAGACCCGACGATGCTACAGTTGACGTCGGCCCCGGGGGCAAAACAGGGCCTGAAAATTGCATGTTATGTTCAATGCTGTCTTCTGGGCGCGTGTGCAGGGCGTTCCGATGTTGGAGAGAAAAACATCCTCTCCCTCAGTGTCGTCCTCGTGCTCCTTCCCGCCGGCTTCCTGCGTCAGGTCGGGGCGAAGGAGGATTGCTCGAACTTCAACGAGCTCCCAAACCTCGGCTTCCAGATCGGGGACGCGGTGCTGAACCTGAGGCCGGACGACTACATGGACAGGTCCCCAAGCGGTTGTGCCTTGTCGCTGGACACCATCCTTCTTTTCCGCGTGCTCGTCCCACATCCTCCGCTGCTCCTCTTCCCTTCCCTCTCCTCTTCTTCTTCACGTTCGGTCTCCTCCTCCAGCTCCTCCTCCTCCTCCTCCTCCTCCTCCCTCGCTTCATGAGCACCCCTTTCGCACCACGAGACTTATCGGTGCTGATGTAGGGCGGTCCGGACGTTTCGCCTAACATGTCCTCACAAGTCCGGATGGTATGGAAGCCTGCAGTCTGCAACAGCTCCACGGGCGGAGAGCGTTCGGTCTGCAGACGATGTTTCTCGCCATGGTGCTGCGCGCGTGTGTTCTTCCAGCCTCCAGCTGCCACACTGGTGAAACAAGGGCTCCCACGAGGGCGTGAAGTTATTCGCGCTTCGCTTCGCGGTCCTCTTTCCTTCCCCCCCTCCTCCTCGTCCTCCTTTTCTCCCTTTGGGGGGGCGGCGCGAGAGCGCGAAGTTATTCGCGCTTCGCGGAGCGCGAAGCGCGAAGTTGGGAGCCCTAGGCGCCGCGCGCATGTGGCTTGGGCGTTTTTGATTAGTCTCGTATCCCCACCAGCCCATCCTGCAGCGAGTCCTAGGCGAGTTCTCTTGATGAATGGCGCGCGAACCTTATCGTGAGAAGGCGAGGGTCCAGCCGTTTCATTGGCCTGCACGTTCCCCCCGTTGTTTCTCGCTCGCAGATGCAGTCAACACGCCAAGAATTAGCTGTTCCATCCTCTGGCGCGTAAAAGTCGCTGCCAGGGCCTAACCCCCCCCCCTCTCTCCTCCCTCTTCCACCCTCCCCCCCTCCTCCCTTCCCCCTCCCTCCTCCCTCCTCCCTCCCTCCTCCCTCCTCCTCATCCTTCCTCCTGCCTCCCCCCTCCTGAGAGTGTGCTGTCATCCTCTGGCGCGTAACGGTCGCTGCCTGGGCAGCCCGTCCCCAAGCCTCCCTTGGGTATAGCGGTCACGATCGTACGTTCGGGGGAGGACAGAACCCCCAACAGTGATACGTCGATTAGTGAATTGTCCGTTTTCGGTTCTCGAGAGGGCGCCGCGGCCGCCATTTTCCAGGCTTGCGCCCGCGAGGTTTGGGCCGCAGGTCGTTTTCACTAAACCATGTTTTACTAGAGGGAGGTCTGTCCATCCCCGATGCGTGGGGAGGGGGTCCTGGACCCCCCCCTCCCCCTCGCACGTGTTGGTGCTCGCGCGCATCCTATGGCGGTTGCAGCGCGCCCGTGCCCAGACAAGCGTTACCATTACCCGGGGCCCAAGCGTGAGCGCTGACCCGCGCAAGCGTTGGCGTTACCTGGGGCCCCAGCAAGCCTTGGGGGGCGACCGTTACTGGACATAACAATGCATCACGTCTGAAATAAGGGCCGTTTGGGGTTCAGACGGGGCTGTGTTCTTCGGGCCCGTCTCTGGGGTCTGGTCGCCGTGACCAGGTAAAGCCCGTTCGTTTCTTGTCCAGCGTTCCTTATTGTAGCATGATGACTGAGTGAGGGGCCTCCCGCGTGGAATGCTGGCGAAAGCCCGGCTGGTTTGACTCCTGTGTTTTCTTGGCAGCGGAGGGGCGCGAGGCTTCGTGGAGTCAGCTGTAACTGCCTCCCCTTCCTCGGGTTATCTGGGGGGCCTCTGTTGTGGCGGTTTTGTGGGGCCGTTGGGACTCCCGTGGGGCTTTCTTGGGGCCCTCTTGGGGCCTTCGGGGTCTTCTTGGGCCGTTGCAAGATACGGTAGCGTCGATCAAACATTGGAGATCGCACATGAAGGCCTCGCTGTCGGAGGCTGACACGCATCGCCTCTTGCGGCCCTCTTGGGAGCCTTTCGGCCGTCTTGGAGCCCTTCTGGGCCTCTGTTGGAACTCTCCTGTGCGATCTTGGGGCCACTTTGAGGTCTCAGAAGACAGTCGGAAGCGGAAAGCGAGAAGCTCAAAGTGATTGAAACAACATTGGGCGTTGAGTGACTTGGGCTTCTCGGGAGCATTATTTGAAGGTTCTGTAGCCCCGTGGAGCCGTCTTGGGGGCATCTCGTGGCCTTTTGAAGATGTGTTGAACGCTGTTTTCGTTCAATTTGGACCCTATTGCGCCATAGTTGAACCCATGTTGGGACATCCGGGGCCTTCTTGAAGCCATCTTTGGCCCAAGCGGACACTCTTCCAGACCCAGGGGATGGATTTCCCTGATAGAACGGGTCAGCCTCTTCAGTTGACCCGCGGCCACAGAAACAACGGGTCGCCCCTCCCAATCTTGGCCTCGGCACGGCAAGACAAGGCGAGATGGCCTCCAAGATGTCACATGATGGGCCCAGCCGCCAAGATGTCACATGATGCGCCGAGATGATCCAATATGGCCTCCGCGATGACAAGACGGCCCGATGTGGCCTGACGCGCTTTCTCTTCCGATGGGCTCTCGAGGCTTCAAGGTGGTCCGAAGGTCGTCCACGAGACCCCATGGCCCAGGAGGGGCCCGAGACCGCCCCGGAGCCGGAGGCCGCGCGTTGGCGCAAGGCGCCTTGCCGAGCACCCAAGCAGGTGCTCCCGCTGGCCGTGCTCCCCTTCCTCCTCCTCTTCCCCCTCCTCCACCTCCTCCTCCGCCTCTTCTTTAATCGGCAAGTTTCCCAGTTCCCGTTGCGCGCAACGGCTCGCCTATCGCAGGTTGGCCTGAGCGTTGCTCCAAGCGCGTTGGGGCGCCCTTCCGTTTGCCCGATTCCTTGCCAGAATTTCGGCGTAGCATCCCCGCCTCGTTGAATGAATCCTCTGGCCTGTGGCCGCAGCCCCGTTCGGTGCTGCGCCACCCGGCCTGCTGCCTCTCCTTCGTTCCTCGTTACTCGCCCGATTCCTCGGCACTACAATGCCCGGGCAATGATTGTCACGCCTGGGTGTTGCCTCTTGAACTCGGCTTTAGGTGTGTGGCGGCATTCGCGTTTTGAAGCCTGCTCTCGTGGCTTGCGGTCCGCTCCGCCGAGGAGAGTCTCCTTCCGGCTTCAGTCCGGGACACCCGGGACACACGGGACACCCGGGACACCCGGAGCACCCGGGACACCCGGGACACCCGGGACACCCGGGACACCCGGAGCACCCGGGACACCCGGGACATTCGGAACACCCGGGACACCCGGGACACCCGGGACACCCGGGACACCCGGAGCTCCCGGAGCACCCGGAACACCTGCAGGACACCCGGGACACCCGGAACACCCAGGACATCTGGAACGCCCAGAGTACCCGGAGCACCCGGAGCACCCGGGACACCGGGAACACCCGGAGCCACAGCACGCGCGGAGCCAGAGCGCGGAGCCACAACACCCGCCGCTTGCTGCTGCCGCGGCGTACACCCACCCACACCATTAATGGGGAGGTAGAGGGGAAGCGTTCTGTACACAATGCCAGCCACGGACGACAAGGGCTCCCGCGCGAGACTTCTCACGATATATATATATATATATATATATATATATATATAGAATGTATAGATATATAGATCCCCGTGCACGAGACCAGGGCGCCCGTGACCGCGACCTCGGGTGCGCATGGGGGTTCTGGGCGTCGTTTTCCTAATGTTTTTGCGGGGTTTCGGCGTCTCGGTGCCAACAGGGCCCCAAGAGGCTGCAGGGAGGCCCCAGGAGGCCGCAGCAGTGGCTCCAGACGCTTTTCAAGACGACTCCCATGACGCCAAGAAGGCCCCCGAAGGCCCCGAAGACTCCCCAACAAGCACCCCGAGAGAGCCCAATAAGCAAAAATCGTCGACTTCCTATGGGACTACTGATACTTTTGGCGTGTTTGCCTTTTGGGCGTCCACTGCGTCCAAGACGGCCCAAGAGGCACCCAAGGCGGTCGAGGATGCCCCCAAGAGGGCCCCAAGACGGTCCACGAGGGGGCCAAGACGGCCCACGAGGCGCCCAAACCGCACAATAACGCCCCAAGGCGGCGCCCAAGACGGTGACGAGGAACCGGAAATTCGGGCCTTTTGGCCCAAGAGACCCTAGGAGACCCCAAGACGCTCCAAGAAGGGACCCAGAAGCCCTAAGAGTGCCCCCATGAGACCCGAAAAAACAGCACAAGAGGCTCCGAAGACGCCCCAAGAGGCACCCCGAGAGTGGCCCAACAAGCAAAAATCGTCGATTTACCATGGGAAAACTGATACTTTTGGCGTGTTTGCCTTTTGGGCGTCCACTGCGTCCAAGACGGCCCAAGAGGCACCCAAGCCGGTCGAGGATGCCCCCAAGAGGGCCCCAAGACGGCCCACGAGGGGGCTAAGAACGCCCCAAGGCTGTGCCCAAGACGGGGACGAGGAACGGCATATTCGGGCCTTTCGGCCCAAGAGACCCTAGGAGACCCCAAGACGCTCCAAGAAGGGACCCAGAAGCCCCAAGAGGCCCCCATGAGACCCGAAAAAACAGCAAAAGAGGCTCCGAAGACACCCCAAGAAGCACCCCGAGAGTGGCCCAATATGCAACAATCGTCGACTTCCTATGGGGAAACTGATATTTTTGGCGTGTTTGCCTTTTGGGCGTCCACTGCATCCACGATTGCCCAAGAGGCACCCAAGGCGGTCGAGGATGCCCCCAAGAGGGCCCCAAGACGGTCCACGAGGGGGCCAAGACGGCCCACGAGACGCCTAAACCGCCCAAGAACGCCCCCCAGGAGCCCAAGAGGCCTTTCCGGGGAGCCTCCACAGCGCCCCAGGAGGGCCCAAGACGCCTCCCAGGAGCACCCAGAATGCGAAAAGATTGTCCAAGACGTTCCCAAGCAGCCCAAGTCAGCCTTCGGACGGCTCTCGAGGCTCCCTGGTGGCCTCCTAGAGACCCCAAGAGAGGTCCGAGAGGCGTCCCGGGACGGCCCGAAGAGGCCCAATTCGTCGATTTCCATTTCTTTTTGCAATGTTTTTGGTTTCTCGCGTTTTCGAGCTTCCAATGGTCCAAGAGCGCCGAAGAGGCTCCCAAGACCGCCCCAAGACCACCATGAGACCCTCAGGACGGCCCCAAGACGAGCCAAGAAGGCTCCAAGACTGCCGAAGAGGCGCCCAGGACAGCCCCAGACTACCCCAGAACAGGCCCACAATGTGCCCAAGAGCGGGAGCAGGAGCCTTCCAGCGACCTCCGAAGGGCCC